TATCTCTGAACCGGGTTTCTCCAAATTTTACGTATTATCTTCTAGACTGGTGATTTGGGCTGACCATTTAGTGCACATTTAACCCGAAATCGGATGAAGATATATATGAGAGCTATATCCAAATCTGAACCGATTTCGATAAAATTTAAAACAGCTATTCCTGTGCTCCATCTAATACCTGGTACCAAATATCACGGTTGTATGGGACTAAAACTCTAAATCGGATGAAACATATATATGGTTGCTATATCTATATCTGAACCGATTTTCACTAAATTTGATATACTTGCTTCTAGGCTGAATTTGGTCCGATGTACTAAAATTCAGTCCATTTGGACTTATATCGGCCATTTGGTGCACAATTAACCCGAAATCGGATGAAGATATATATGGGAGCTATATCCAAATCTGAACCGATTTCGATAAAATTACAAACAGCTATTTCTGGGCTGTATCTTATATCTGGTACCAAATATCATTCTTGTGGAGTGCATATTACGAATGTGAGAGGCTTAAACACCAAATCGGATGAAAGATTTATATGGGAGCTATAGCTATATCTGAACCGATTTTCTCCAAATTTGATATACTTGCTTCTAGGCCGAACTCGGTTGGGTGTGCCAAAATTCAGGTAATTTGGACTGATAGTGGACATTTGGTGCACATTTAACCCGAAATCGGATGAATATATATATGGGAGCTATAACTGTTTCTGAACCGATTTTCTCCAAATTTGTTGTATTTGCTTTAAGGTTAATCTCGGTCACATGTGCCAAAATTCGGGTCATTTGGGCTGATATTGGCCATTTGGTGGTCAATTAACCCGAAATCGGATGAAGATATATATGGGAGCTATATCCAAATCTGAACCGATTTCGATAAAATTTAAAACAGCTATTTCTGTGCTCCATCTAATACCTGGTACCAAATATCACGGTTGTGGAGTGCATAGTAGGAATGTGAGGGACTTCAAGATCAAATCGGATGAAAGATATATATGGGAGCTATAGCTATATCTGAACCGATTTCTCCAAATTTGATATACTTGCTTCTAGGCCGAACTCGGTTGGGTGTGCCAAAATTCAGGTAATTTGGACTGATATTGGATATTTGGTGCACATTTAACCCGAAATCGGATGAAGATATATGGGAGCTATATCTAAATTTGATCCGATTCTCACCAATTTCAATAGGGTTCGTCCTTGGGCCAAAAAAATATTGTTTGGAAAATTTCATCTCAATCGGATAATAAATGCGACCTGAATTTTGTTCACAAGAATACATGGACAGACGGACTGACATGCATAAATCGACTCAGAAAGTGATTCTATGAAGGTTCTCAAAAGTAACTATGGGTCTATCTCGTTTCCTTCTCCATGTTACAAACAAATGCACAAAGACATAATACCCTTACCACTATGTGGTGTAGGGTATAACTACCATGAAGCTTATAAAAAGGAAAATAGACATCCGACTCCTTTAAAACTAGGAACATCTCAATACTACTATCAGCACAAATTCTGGTGAGAATGTGGAATACATCGAATCACTCATTTTGGTATCTCACAGGTTAACATTTTAAGTAACCAAAATCCACATAAAATGCGAAATATGCATTCGACGCTCTTCACAATTTCACACATCCCAGTATTTTGACAAATTTATTTTCGGATTATCAAATTATTCTTCTACACAACACTGGTTCTTCCAAACACTTCTAATGGATTATCTGTAATTGCTTAATATATAACAACAAATGTTCAGATTTCAGTTTTACAACATTTATGCCTACAACCTATAAAAATAAAACAATTAAATTGTTAACAATAATTTTATGATTGAACTGAAACGTGTTTTTCCACTTTGAATGATGAAAATACACTTTATGACCAAGTGGGTAGACGGCTGTTACTAATATCCGTGACTAATATCCAAAATCTTCCAAACACACACACACACACACACCCACGCACACGCACACAGACAAAAGATGATATTAAATTAACATCTGAAGAAGTCATACTTAAGACAACAAATAAGAATGAGTTTGAAGAGAAGAAAAAAAGGTGAGTGCGTGTGTATGTATGGGTAGGATGTTCACATATGACCGGCTGCTTAGGGCTCCAGACGTCTGAGCATTAGTCTTCTGTATTATGTCATAACAATTGTGAGTGTGTGTGTGTGAGTGCCTGCGTGTGTTTATTTGTGTTGTTTCTGCTGGTTTCTTTTCATGTTCATATTTATATCAAACATAATAATAGCAAACAGATGATGAAAGCTGTGCCCAGTTGCCCTGGTAATGCTATTGTCAAATATTCCATCAAGTGTTTGTATATTAAGTTAATGGTTTGTCACCATTCTTTTGTGACACACATTTTTTGGAGATTTTTCCAAAGACACAATTTACATTACGGGTTTTATGGGAAATGATTTTGGGAAGAAATAAAACCAAATAAAAATGCATTTGTGGTCTTTCCATTTAATCGTATTTTAGATAATTTTCCAGAGAGTATATATCATTTGATAAGGTCATAACGTGCCCCATCGAAATAACGGTTTTAGAATCTAGATATCTTTGGACCAAATCCGTTTCACGACATTTGTAGTCGATTTAGCGGTGTCAGTTCGTCCGTATTTTAGGCTGGTGTGCACAATAACTCTCGAAGAGAGTATGCGATTTGATCCAAATTTGATGCATCGTAATATTATTGTCAAACTTAGATCGAGTTTTGAGATTTGCAGAATCGGTCCACTAGTTCTTGTACTCCACCCCCCAAAAAGGTCGAAATTTTCTACGAAAATATTTTACTGCACAGAAAGAGAATATTTTACTGTCAAGTACCTCCCCCACAAACGATCAAAATTTGAAAAATTATAACTCTTATAACTCTTATGACATAATAATCCGATTGTCTTCAAATTTTACTCACCACAATAATTTTGTTAATCAAGATCTCGTGTGAAGATGGGATATATCGGTGCACACCTCTTGTACCTCCCCACAAAGGGTTCAATATTTTGAAAAAACAAAACGCTCATAAAACGCGGATAAGCATTTCACTCTCTTCAAATTTCACACGTCCAAACATTTTTGCTAAGGCAAGAGATTGTGAAGATGCTAGACACCGACCAACGCCTTCCGGTACCTCACCCACAAAGGGTCACAATTTTCAATACTTATATCTGTCAAAACTTGAGAAACAAGTCCGCGATTCTTTACAATTTGCTATATTTATATTTAGCCATTTAAAATTGGATAATAATGTTCGATGTTCTTATAATTTTGTCCTTACCAATATTTTTATTTGCATTAGATGAAGTATGACAAATAAAAATGCAGATACGATCTCTTCCAGGTGATAAAGTACTAACAAGGAACTCCGTGTATGGATTCTCAGACAATTCCATTGACAAGTTTGGCTGAAATCGTCAAAATACCGAATATCGGGGGTTCCTTTATATAGCGGCTATACGATATCGTGGACCTATATAGGCAATTCTCTTCTAGGGGATAAAGTACTCACAAGAAACTTCTTGTGCGAATTATCAGACAATTCCATTGAAAAATGTGGCTAAAATCAAAAATTACCTGCATATTGGGGCTATACGATATCGTGGACCGATATAGATAATATTCTTCCAGGTGATAAAGTGCCCACAAGGAACTCCTTCGGTGTTTTTTTAGGTCTAAAATTATTATATCGATGAGTTACAAACGGAATGACTAACTAAATATACCATCCATACTATGTATGGTGGAGGGTATAAAAAAGGGAATACTTCGGTCAACTATATCTGCTACCTCTGGCACATTTCAACATTGTCTAACAATTATCACATATCTTAGATAACGTTATGGAAGTAGTCGACCACCGCGTCGCAGTGGCCAAAAAAATTGCTCGTGAGCTAAAATATCGCACTATTCCATTCGGCAAATATTGAAAAATAAAATTCCAAAAAGTGCCAGAACTTACACCCAACAGAAAGAAAATAGACTCAAAATAGCTAAAGAGTTGCCTCGATTGGCCGAAAGTGGTGTACTGCCGAATTTGGTTTTCTCCGATGAGAAAACATTCGTTGTCCAGCAGTTTGTAAACAAACAAAATGATCGTGTTTACTTGCCAAAGAAGACAGTTGAAAATGTTCACCTTCGGTTGACCACCAGAACTCAAGCGCCAGCCATGGTCGTTCTCCGCTCATATTAATCGACCGTGGCATCTGAATAAATGCCGAATATTATCGAGAAACTATTCTGGAGGGTGTATTAAAGACATTCCAACAGAACTCAGCACCACCGCACTCAGCACGCGCCACCCAAGAATGGTTACAAAATGAGGTTCCTCGATTCATTTCTAGCGCACAATGGCCACCAAAATCTCCGGATACCAATCCGTTGGACTATTGTACATTGAGAATTTTGGTAAGCAAGGTTGGCACCAAAAAATACCACAGTGTCGATCACCTCAAGCAAGCGCTTCGCCGGGAATGGGCCAAAATACCGCAGAGCAACATTCGGGCAGCGTGTGACGGTTTCATTGGCTGTTTGAAGGCCATAAATCGTGCCAAAGGTGGCCAGTTGGAAGAAATCTAAACTTATTCTAAAATTTGATGCTATTTTCGACATTTTTTGCTTTCATTTAATAGAATTAAAAAACAAATGTGGTATCTTACTTTGTTGCAGTTTTTTTATTTCACCCTATATATATATATATATATATATATATATATATATATATATCTTATTGTTTAATGTCCGATATAAAATGGATAATATTGGTCCATTCCTTTGCAACCTAATCCATAGACGATCATCAAGTTTAATAATCATAACAGAAGTCAAAATATATTTAAATTATCGAACATTGGGGTGGGTAACATGTTTTTTCAGTCTTAAATTTTCATTCGAATTGTAAAATTTCTAAATTTGTCTGCTCGCCCAATTTATGTTGCAATTAATTTCTTAATCTCAATTTCTATATCTGTTCCCTTTTATTTTACAGGTAACCCTAGGTGGTCTACCACTCGCTGTGGAGGATATTAATAAGGATCCCACCCTATTGCCGGGTAAACGTCTAACATTTAAAGCCTACGACATAGGCCACAAGACAAGCGATTATCGTGTACAACCAATTAGGTAAGTGACATGAATCAATGTGTGTGTGTGTACCAATGTGCATAGATGTAGGATTATATTTACACAAAGGCACATGATTGAAAATGTGATAATACACCATTACATACGTGCAAACAGATATAAATGCGTAAATATACTTAAAATTTTAAAATTACCACATTAGTGGGAGTAGGCATTAAATTAAAGACTAAAGCAATTCCAAAGGGAAAATCATTTTGTTTTTGGGTACTACAAAAGCGATTACACCAGCGTATGATGTATAAATATCCTTCGCTGAAATATGAAAACAAAATGTTTCAAAGTCAAGTAAAACATTTAATGGGAATCCATTGTAAATCGATTAATTTTAAAAATACTTTCAAGAGAAAAACACCATGACAGGGTTTTGTGGAAATTCTCTTGGAAACCGAAATGTAAAATTACACAATAATCGCCTGGGAATTTGAACAAAACAGAAAAGTTGTGAGCTTTCTGAGAGGCAATCAGCTGAATTTCCATTTCTTTTTGAAAAAATGAAAATTGTAAAAAAAAAAACAGAAGAAACGGCTAAGGCTAGAATCTTGAAATTTGACATATAGGTAGTAGTTTATAAGTGGGGGTGAGATAAGGTGGTATATATCTTTTTTTTGAACTAAAATGCTATTGTTTAAAATCTGGGATCTTTAAATATTGCATGTAGGTGTTTGTGGAAATTCTTGGTAAAATGTATTCAGTATTGTATTATTGGGACCAAAACTCTGAAATTTCATATTTAACTTTGTCTGTCAATGCAAAAATTGTCTGCGAGACCAGCTGTCAAAAATCACATACTTTTCATACAGAAGAAGTGAAAAAGCAGTTAGTTTGGCCGGGACAAACTTTGAATACCCTACATCATGCAGAAGGATTTAGCAAATTAAAAAAAAAGAAGTAAAAATGCTGTAAGTTCGGCCGGGTCGAACTTTGAATACCCTCCACCATTTGGAACGAATTTGGCAATTCTCAAAAACAAACGTTAAAAAGTCTGTTAAAATCTTAAAAATACCGAATGTAGCTATTATATTAGGGTCTATACGACGACATGAACCTGCGTAGGTAACATTTGTCATAAGCCATTACAATATTCAAACTCGAAACTTAAAAAAAATCGGTTATAATGTCGATAAAATCAAAATACCGAATATCGGGAGGTACCGTTATATGGGGGCTATACGAAGACGTGGACCTGCACAGACAATTTTCTGTCGTAGGCTGTAGTATCCATTACGAACTTCAAATATTAAATTTAAAACAATTCTGGGGAAAAATGTCCCTAAAATCATCAAAATACCGAATATCGGGAGGTACCCTTATATGGGGGCTTTACGAAGAGGTGGACCTACACAGACAATTTTCTGTCTTAGGATGTAGTATCCATTACGAACAATTCCGGTGAATAAATTCGCTAAAATCATTAAAATACCGAATATCGGGAGGTACCGTTAAATGGGGGCTCTACGAAGACGTGGACCTGCACAAACAATTTTCTGCCTTAGGCTGTAGTATCCATTATGAACTTCAAATACCAAATTTGAAACAATTATAATTATAAATTCGCTAACACCATAGAAATACCGAATATTGGGAGCTACCGTTATATGTGGGTTAAACGAAGACGTGGACCTGCACAGACAATTTTTTGCCTTAGGCTGTAGTATCCATTACGAACTTTAAATACCAAATTTTAAACTATTCCGGTGAATAATTCTGCTAATATTATCAAAACACCGAATATCGGAAGGTACCGTTATATGGGGGCTATACGAAGACGTGCACCTGCACAGACAATTTTCTGTCGTAAGCTGTAGTATCCATTACGAACTTTAAATACCAAATTTTAAACTATTCCGGTGAATAATTCTGCTAATATTATCAAAACACCGAATATCGGAAGGTACCGTGGACCTACATGGCCCATTTTCAATACCAAAAGTCAAGAATATATATACTTTATGGGGTCTAAAATGTGTACTTCGAGGTGTTACAAACCGAATGACAAACTTAATATACCCTCCATACTATGGTGGAGGGTCTCAAATGAGAACCATTATTTGAGGGCTATACGAAGACGTGGTCCTGCATAAATAACATGTGTTATAGGCTGTAGTAACTGTTCCAAACTTTATATACGACATTTGAAAAAATGCCGGTTAATAACATCGCAAAAATTATCAAAATATCGAATATTGGGAGGTGCCGTTATATGGGGCGTATACGATATCGTGGACCTGTATAGACAAATCTCTTTCAGGGGATAAAGTACTCACAAGGAATTTCTTGTGAGAATTTTCAGACAATTCCATTGAAAAATTTGCCTGAAATCATCAAAATATCGAATGTCGGGGTGTACTTTTATTTGGGGGCTATTACTATATCGTGGACCTCTATAGACAATTCTCTTTCAGGGGGTTAAGTACTCATAAGGAACTGCTTGTGCAGAATTTCAGACAATTCCAATTAAAAACCAGTAAGGAAAGCTCAAAAGTCGGGCGGGGCCGACTATATGATACCCTACACCACTATGCATATTTAGTAGAGCTCTCGTAAAAAGGTTTATACAGGGCATTTCAGAGCTCTATGAGATATTTGGTACAAAATCAGAATCTATCTAATTCTATCGTGCATTTTACGAACTATAGCTATCTCTGAACCGGGTTTCTCCAAATTTTACGTATTATCTTCTAGACTGGTGATTTGGGCTGATATTGACCATTTAGCGCACATTTAACCCGAAATCGGATGAAGATATATATGAGAGCTATATACAAATCTGAACCGATTTCGATAAAATTTAAAACAGCTATTCCTGTGCTCCATCTAATACCTGGTACCAAATATCACGGTTGTGGAGTGAATATTACGAATGTATGGGACTAAAACTCTAAATCGGATGAAACATATATATGGTTGCTATATCTATATCTGAACCGATTTTCACTAAATTTGATATACTTGCTTCTAGGCTGAATTTGGTCCGATGTACTAAAATTCAGTCCATTTGGACTTATATCGGCCATTTGGTGCACAATTAACCCGAAATCGGATGAAGATATATATGGGAGCTATATCCAAATCTGAACCGATTTCGATAAAATTACAAACAGCTATTTCTGGGCTGTATCTTATATCTGGTACCAAATATCATTCTTGTGGAGTGCATATTACGAATGTGAGAGGCTTAAACACCAAATCGGATGAAAGATATATATGGGAGCTATAGCTATATCTAAACCGATTTTCTCCAAATTTGATATACTTGCTTCTAGGCCGAACTCGGTTGGGTGTGCCAAAATTCAGGTAATTTAGACTGATAGTGGACATTTGGTGCACATTTAACCCGAAATCGGATGAATATATATATGGGAGCTATAGCTGTTTCTGAACCGATTTTCTCCAAATTTGATATACTTGCTTCTAGGCCGAACTCGGTTGGGTGTGCCAAAATTCAGGTAATTTGGACTGATAGTGGATATTTGGTGCACATTTAACCCGAAATCGGATGAAGATATATATAGGAGCTATATCTAAATTTGATCCGATTCTCACCAATTTCAATAGGGTTCGTCCTTGGGCCAAAAAAATATTGTTTGGAAAATTTCATCTCAATCGGATAATAAATGCGACCTGCATTTTGTTCACAAGAATACATGGACAGACGGACGGACGGACTGACATGCATAAATCGACTCAGAAAGTGATTCTATGAAGGTTCTCAAAAGTAACTATGGGTCTATCTCGTTTCCTTCTCCATGTTACAAACAAATGCACAAAGACATAATACCCTTACCACTATGTGGTGTAGGGTATAAAAAGTAGCAAAAATCATAAAAATTCCGAATATCGTACAGTTCGATAAATAATGTCGCTAAAATCATCAAAATACCTAATATCGGTAGGTACCGTTATATGAGGGCTGTAAAAACGTGGACTTACATGGCCCATTTTTAATAGCAACAGTCCTGCAGACATAATATACATTTGAGTAAAATTATATCAATCTACTTCATTTCGTTCGGAAGCTAGAGTGATTTCCACAGATGGATAAACGGACGGACATCGCTAAATCGACATAGTATTTTATGCTGCCAAGAATAAATATACTTTGTGAGGTCTAAAATGTATATTTCGAGGAAAAAATGTGAAAAAAGATCCATAGCAAAAGCTAATTTTGGCAGCAATGAAAAAATGTGTTATATACGACTAACGGAACATAAATCGTATTCCTAAATAACACCAATTATTAATCTGACAATTTCAAATTGTTTTCAATGTTTAATAATTGCCCTTAGATAAACTGAGTGAATATCAAAAAAATTCAAACACGTTCATACACTGTCACATTGTTAAGGGAAATGAAGTGTTTTTCTTTTATTTTTGATTGTTTTCCTCTATTCTTTTTGTTTGTTTGGCAATTAAAAGGAATACTGCTAATGGGCGATAGACCGTTGGTCTCTTTTTTGAATTAAAAATATTAGAGTGAGTTGAAGATTTTGTTTGCATTCATTTAAAATTTGTTTATGTCTTTTTAAATTATCTTTGTACCAAGTGTATCCTCATTTTCGGCTCTTTTTTTTAAATTAAGTTCAGAATTTAAACCTCATGTGATTGTCCCTTACACCTTACTCATAACCCCTTGGTCCCACCAACATTCCCCAATTAAATCAATTGTTTTTATATTTTTGTTTTTTTTTTTTTTTTTTTTTTTCAACAGTTACATCCCAGCGCACATGGCTAGCCAAAAAGGAAAAAACTATGTCAACAGACTTTCAGTAAAAAAATTAAATGTTGAAAGTTCAATTTGTCAATATAATCCTGAGATTTTTTACTCAATATGAAATTTACTAACACATATGCATATGCCATGCATGTGAATGCACTTTGCTTTAATATTTTGTTGTTGGGTTTTTTTTTTTTTCATTGAAACATCAAATTCATGTTTATATTAGTCGGAGGAAAAAATAACTTAAAAGCTTTCGGAAGTT